GGCTGCATTATTGAAACAATATGTAATCAACTAAACATAAGATGTGCAATAGAATGACACGAGTACGATACAATTTTTAATCAACTAATCATAAGATGTGCAACAGAATGACACAAGTACTGTATACCTGCAGAGATCTAGAGCACAATCCTTTAAGGAAGTATGCATATCAGATAAGATGCGAGAAAATGATTGAATCTCTTTTCTCCGCAGCTTTCATTTTTTTTTTTTTAAAGAAAATGGTAAGTCAGGTCAATTTGCTATTCAATTGTAACTTCTGAATTTAGTATAAAGTTGATGGATGTGGCGTGGTTACCATAGTTTATGCATTTATTTAAATCTCTAGAAAAGAATTTTGGAATTTCGGGTACTTAAAAAGGCTCTACTTTGCCCAGCTTTTATCCCGTTGTTACATACAAGTGCTTGCACAACAAACCCATCAATCTGCAGCAAGATACGCTAATGTAGACATGGTTTAGGCACACATTGAAGTAAATGGTCCCAACTTAATTAGCTGTAAAGGAAACAAGGATGGAAGGAAACGACTCCAAGTATAGGAGGGTATAAAAAAACCAGTAATAACATTTATGAATGCTATGTGAATTTCCTGAGTTCGAAAGTTCATTCAACCTCAGCTATAATAGCAAAAGAGTGGGAAAAAGCTCATGTTTAGTTATCAACCCTGACATGGCATGGAGCAAACACGAATACATCACTATGTAGATTTGGCAACCATCCCAATGAATAAGACATCTAAGGGGATATCACCATTTCCTATTAATTTCTACTTCCAAAAGACTACTTTCTTAGTTAATCCAATGTGAACCATACCAAACGAGTTCAAAAAAAAATATGTCCTCCCGTTAGCATTTCATTGAAAAGTAAACCGTAGAGCTTAGTTTGATTAGCGTCAAAACATTGATTAGCTAGAAAGTACAATTTCTCGAATAAGTTTTTTTTTTCCTCAAGTGTCAAATTTTTTCGTAAACATCTGTTTTGATTTCCCATAAATTGAGCTGAAAAATTTTTATTTCTCGTAAAAGTTGTCTTATTTTACCCACTTATGATTTTTCCGATTAGATTAGATTGGTATGATAAGGATAATTTAGTCTTTTCACCAATTTTTTTAACAAATTTTTCAATCTAATCAAATGCATACAAATTTTCTTTTCCATTTCTTTTTTTTTTTTCGTTTCAGTTTAAACCTTTTTCATTTTCCATGATCAATTTCTTTCTAACTAACAGAGCCAGGAATGGCGATCACCCTAGGGTTTAAATCTCCCACAGCCCATGATTCACAAAAACCAAATCCGAAATCAGGTTACAAAAATTGAGAGTCATTCACTTCATTTAGACAATTTTTCAGTGATTTTTGTCGAACTTGCTCGCTAGAGAATATACCTGGTGACTGAGCGGGGCGAGATTGGGGTGAGCAAGAAGGAAGTGATCGGGTACGTCATATTGGGTTTGTAGTGTTTGAGGCCATTGGAGACGTCTGTAAGTGGTTTTCTTTTCTTGTCCATTTCGATTCGTCGTTGTCGTGTAATTTTTTTTTTGAATGACCTAAAAATTATGAGAATCTTTAGGTTAATATGCGAAAGGTGAAGCTGTTTTAAGTTTAAATCTTGACAAACGGCCACGAGAGAGGAAATGATTTGTTGAGAGGTGTGCAAACTGACTCAGATATCATTCATAGTTGAACCAAAATATAAAAAATTTAAAATGTCTAATTACTAATCATATTGTGAATGAACATTAAAATTACATTTTTTGAAAGGTCATATTATATCTAATTAGTGTTAGTAATGATGAATAATAAAAAAGAGTGAAGTAGAGAAAGTCTTTGCAGTGGATAAGGAGCCAAAGGTCATTGCTGCCGTGACCAAGAAAGCTGCTAATCACTGTCATTGTGTCAGTTAATTATAGTTAATAAATGTTGTTAAGATAAACCTTAGACTTAAATAAAACTACTCCTATTGACCTTAGGAAAAACAAAATGTCTCAAAGGATATAACTTCTTTCCAACTGCTACCATCGACCATGGGAAAACAATATGGGCCCAAGTCAAAAACCATTTTTTCCTTTTGTTAACCATGTTTAGTTGGGGGCAAGAGAAAGGGGAATAGTCTTAAAGTTCTTACTTTTTCCTGTTTGAGTGAAAAATAGAGGAGGAAGGAAATATAGTTTTACTCTTTAGGCCTACTAATATCTTCAGTTATTTTATTTTATTTTTGGACTACGAAAGTAAGATTTTTCCTCATTTTTCTTTCTAACACATGGAAAATAGTGTTAGTAATGATCAATTTTTTAGATTTCAATAGCATATTATGGGAGAAATAAGTGTCAGATTTTGATGGAAATGTATACAACTTGCTTTTGCTTCTTAGGATATGGGTGGTTGGGATTGCAAGGATAAAAAGGGAATTGGATTTATTCTTCAACTACCCACAAAATAAAAAAAGAATTTCTCAGTTCTTCATTCTTGCCCCGGGGCCAAAGTGAGGGAAAAGCACTTCCTTTGTGTCTTCATCAAATTGCCCCACGTTTTCAAAGAACTGGGACCCTAAAAATCTGCCCATCTCTTTTTTCCCTAGATATTATAAAAGTGTGTGAATTATTCAAATAATATATATTCACTTTTATAATGTTAGTGTGTTATTAATGATTATATTCTAGCTCATAATTCCATGATGAAGTAGGCTTGTTTGATCATGCATCAAACTAAAAGAGAGTGGGTTGATGCCCTGTGGCTGTAGATAGGTAGGTAGGTAGAGGGTAATTAAATGGGTGATTAATTAGGAAACTCAATTAGAAGAAGAGAATCATGTGGTCCAAAGCCAAACACAGGTGGTGTGTTGTGCTTTCAATTCTAAAATCATAAAGAAACACAATACTTTATTGGAGAATAATTCCGTCAATCGGCCCATTCCGTGCTTAAGGGCTTTTTGAATAAAGGAGAGGAGATACACTTCATAATTGTACACTTAGGCGCAATAATTACCCAAAAAAATACATTTTAATAAAATTATATTCCAACTTGATAAAAAAAAAATGGTAATTTTACTCGTGGAATATATTTTTCCTTGAAACAAAGGGCCTTAGAGGTCGCTAGAAACTAATTTATATTTTCATAAAACCGAATCTATACCTATTCTAAAGGGAAAGAATGGGTAATTGGAGTCCACTATTAAAATGCCTATATCACCTTTTTATTTATTTCTAAATAACGACTTATAACTCATTCTTTAACTTCATTCAACCACGATCACTCATGAGATATTGTATTACCCTTTATTTTTCTTCCCAAATAACTACTCTATTCCCATTTTAACCCTAACAGTGTATGTAGGACATCTACTATACTGTTTTTTTTTTTTTAAAAAAATTCTTAATGACTGCCAAAACATGGATTCACTAGTATTGGTTTCCTGCTACATTTTATTGGTGGTTTTGGTTGGAGGTTGGGAAAGATGATGGTATTCAGTTAATGGTTAAAATATTCTCTGCTTAAAGTCTTACTCGAGCATAACATCCTTGTTACTTTTTGATTACCTTTGTGTTTGTTTATGTGCATGTGTGTGTGTGTAAGAGAGAGAGAGAGTAGTTGATTGGTTTTTTAATATATTCTTGACTTAACCCATGATCAGGACTTAGGAAAGAGGTCATCGTCAAATTAAAGGAAGTAGACTTGTAAACCCTAATCATGAAGAAGAAGATAGTTTTTCTAGTTTCGGATTGAGGATAAGGAACACACACTGATCTCCTTTTTGGCTTAAAACTGCCTTTTTTTCTGGAAGGAGGCACCTCTAGATTCATTGCATCGATCGTATTCATGGGTGCACTAATTGTAACGAAGACAACCCGTCCACCAAGTTATTACATACAAAAGACACTTTCTAATAGTGGTTATCGACATCTAACTCTTTCGCAGTAATCTTCTTCTAACTGTCATCATTCTATCGTTGCTTTCCAGAAGATTTTGCTTTTTGATCATTTATTAGGGATAATTACACTTTGTACCTTAAAGAGTTTTTGCATATAAATTATATATCAAAAAATAAGACTTAAAAAAGAAAAACTAAGATTGGTAACGATTTTCGTAATTAAAGAGTGTTATTTAAGAAATTCATCATCTTACGCCCATCTAAATTGATAAAAAATCTTTCAATGATCGTCGTGTTAGGGGGATAGGAATCTCATTATTTATTGGGATTAACTATCAATTTAATAATAATAATTTATCAAGTTAAGTTTTTAAGTATATTTATTATTTTTTTTATTAATTAAGTAAGGGGATAGCGCGTGAAAAGAAAATGTAGAGGAAAAAGAGAAAAGAGAGAATGCCGGACATAGAACTCTTATCTTTAATGGACAGTGACGGAGGCAATGAATGAAGCGAAGACTTAGAAAAGAGAAAGGAAAAAAACAAAGCAAAAAGGGTTGGATGATGAATTCCAACCCAGGGATTATCGGAGTACAGGGGTCGGATGTAGTGATATCATGATCATAAGTGGAAGAAGATACTACCCTACCACAAGCGAAGTGGGAGGACATGGCTGTAGTTTGTTGTTGACGTGGATGACTTGTTAGATATATAAAAAACGTGGAAAAAAACTGCTTCTAGAGCAGCAGCCACAACAAAAATATTGCAATTTTTCCTTATGCAAAATCACCCTTTCAATAATGTGAAAGCCCATATTGATAAGAGAATATTCAATATAATGGTGATATTATTTTAGTATTAATGACATGATATCATCAATCAATAATAAAATTTTAAATGAGCAAAATAAATCTCATTTTAGTAATTATTGACTTACATAGAAGAAGAATGAATAATTATATGTTTACATAGTCTTTATTTATCTGTATATTATTAGTTGGTGATACCACGTGATAATGTTGACGTGATATCACTGTTGCAACGAATATTTTATCCGGATGGAGAGATATTTGATCTGGAGAGTACACATTACTTGAACAATTGAGCATGACATGCT